CAAAAGGTCAGAACACTAAGCTGGTAGGAACTCAGCTTAGTGCGGGATATATAGGTGCATGCAAACAACGGACAGAGCAGTTACGGGTAACTGTCACACCCGTAATCGGCTGTGGTCCGCCTCTATCGCGGATAAGCTTGACGCGTGATAGTCCATTCCGAGAGAGAAGCAGAAAAGAATGAAAGAAAAGATGAGTGAAGAGAAACAATTGTGATGAACTGGCCTAGGGTGGTTGCTGCACTCTAGCGTTGACAATAGGATTGTTTCTCTTGAGGAGAAAGAGAGGAGAAAAGTCCTCTCGTCCCTGATGCTAATCTACCTAAGTACAAAGATGTGCGCGCCCCACTCTCTCGCACTAAGAAGGAGACGAGCCAAAGCTCGAATCTGTGAGGAATCGGATACCCCTACTGTTGGAACAGATCCGCAAGGTATAACAATGTACACGTGTACACCGAGGGGGTGGCTACCATACGATAAGATGAATTCATTAATAGCTAAAGAGCGAGGGGAAAGGGGAGAGTGCGCGCGTGCGGGGAAAGCCGGCTATATGGTGTTGTGCTTTGTTGGAATCGCAGGACAGAGGTTGTACACGTTCATTGGTGTACGTGCCTCGCTTATGGGGCACAAGCCCACACAGCGAGCACAACAACATAAAGGTGGCTCCCGCCCCTTTTGTACATAGAAAAGACAAGACAACAATTGACCCATGAGAGAAGATACGCCTTTGTGTTTGTGTGCGTTACGCACCTGTTTGTTTATGCACGCAATGAGATTGGAGTAACCTTACGGTTCCGACATGCGAAATTTGTCCTTTATCGGATAAGCGGGTTTCTTCGTTAGTTGTTAGGGGTTTTACAAAATGCGGGCAAAAAAGTTCGGCTGGGTGCGGATATCGCTATTGTGGCGTTCGTTAAAACGGGTTTGTACTGTAGTGTATGTAGTCTGGGAACATATCAACAATTCAAAAATCAGACCTCTAAAAAGCACGCTTTTGACCGAGACAGGGGTCGAACCTGCGACCTTCTGATATCATGTGACTCGTGTTGGCAGCCCAACACGGCAATCGTAGTCAGACGCTCTGCCATTGAGCCACACGGCCTATTACGGTTGTCCGAGGAAGCGGTTCTTAGACATTATCAAGTATAGAAGGCGTTCGAGCGCTAGGTGTAGACACATCGACGATGGTACAACGGAATACGAATGCTTCGACTTCGAGGAGGAATAATCGGATGAAAATTTGAGAATAAATACAAGCTGCTTAACTGAGTATTGATGGTTATTTTCTTGTTTCTCTTTCACGACAGCATTCCTATACTTCCTTCCAAGCGCCGACGCCATCGCCTTCTGCGACAATCAGTGCATAAATTTCCGCGTCGATGCCGACATTCATCCTTAGCTTCATTTGAAGCCGTCGCTGACGGCTCCCGGTTCATCTAGGGATCTAGGTCCTACATGAGAGGCGCCCTTTGTTGAGACGCGCGAGCCATTTCTGACCAACCTCGGAACGCCTATATGACCACTCCGAAGCCTTGCCCATGGCCTAAGGATTCGTAGTCGTAAAGCACAATCAGGCGCCTCTTGGACAGCAACTCCTGAGCCCGACGATGTGACTTTCGGTTATGAACCAAAGGCGCTATTTTTCAGCGCTCTACCGAGTAGCGTCAAGGCGCGTCGATGCGATCGGAAGCCTAGCCAAAAATCCCGCCCGGCCTCTCCTTGCCCTTGATTGGGATTGGGGGATCGTGCGGTTCAAGGGAAAGATCAGTCCTGGTTATGAGCTGCGCCCAATCCAGGGGTTGACGTGCCCAATGGCAGATGTGCAATAAGCACTCATTTCAGTGCGCAATCTTGCTCAACGCGTCGATGACTGCTTTTTCACGATCTGTGCTCAAAATTCAGAGGGCCAGGATGGCCTCATCTTGCAACAGCTGGCGCAATTGGTTCTCAGCGTAGGTGCTCTCGACCTCGTTGGTGTAGAATAACAGCACCAAGCCCATGTGAGAAATGCACCCGGTGTACTCTGTGAGTCTGTAGTGATTATTAACATCGCCGGTCGCGGCAGTTGGAAATACTGCGCAACGGAATGGGGATACTGCACAATGAGACCCATGAAGTATTGCCGTCCAAATCGACCCGGAGCATATGTACAATAGTCCACTGTGAGCCGTTCGTTCTTCTTTTGCCCTACTCTGAAGAGTATCGGTGCATGCGATCAGCGATTCAGCGATCGCATAGTTCTGACTCTGTGTCTTCGGTAGCGTTGACCGAGTTTTGATCCCTTCTTCGCTATCAGCCGTCGTCGTTGTCGCGCAACGTGTCCACATCTGATGCCAAGGGGTCGACTATGCCCGACTGCTACAATGTGACAAAGAGGCTAAGTAGTCGATTATTGATACGCGAAGTCACGGTAGATGGAGCGGGGGGCTTAATGTTTTCGACCGACAGAGAGAATCGCATCTATAATCCCGTATCTTGAAACATAGCTGGGGATATATATGAACAGGTCCGCAACCCTCACAGTGCTCAGCTTCCTCAAACCGGAAGAAAAAAAACTACGCATGCGTGCGTTACGTAGAACGATCATGGTACGCATGACCCCCGCGGTTGAGTTCAGCTTCTCTGCTCACGCAGCTCTTTCACCGCCTCAAGTTTGACAAGCCATTCTCTTTCCGTTTGTAATGTAATCCCCAAATTAAGGAAGTGGGATCCCACGCCCGGTCGAGGAATAAGAGGATCGTGATACTTTTCTATGCATCGCAGAGTATCAGTCAAGGTGGGATGAGCCGACGACAGTGCATCTTGGGCTTACTGGTGTCAAATTGACGCCGAAAAATGGAGAACGGAAAGGACTGAGGGTTGAGGGTTGAGTGACAGTGACAGACAAGACTAACTGGGACTGAAAGACTGGTCGGCCACCTTTGCCATAATCCTGTCCTGTTCTTCCTTGAACCTTCGAGAGTTGCCCACAGCAGGAGGTACTGTCTCAGCGGCGCCGGAGAATGGCTGAGATGAGAGGAGAGCGCCAACCATAATGATGGCGTGTGGAAGGCTGCGTCTTTGGAGTGCCGCGAGAAGAATGGTTGAAATGCTCGCGCGTTGACCTCCTCACGTACTCTACACTTCGTGGAAACGCATCAAGTGTGTCATGCCGCATGCGCGATGTGGACGCAGGAAGTAACCCTGGGTACCTTAGGTAGGTACCTAATTCATGTATGGTGAATGCCGGAAGCCCCCACTTTTAAAAGGGCAGGGATAATTCCACTGACCGTTTTAGATAATTCCACTGACCATTTCGGATATTTCCACTGCCCTGATTAGTAAGATGTGTTTCGGAGTATTGCTATTCGCGCGACTCAATTATTCTAATCGCGCGACTACTCCACTCATTCTCCTTATGGCCCCACTTATAATTTTTCGCTTAC